AAATTTTTAAATATTATATTTTAAAGTACTGACTCTATTTAATTTAGATTGAAAATAATTAATAATTATAACAATTAAATTAATCGATAGGTAATAAAATAGTTAATATTTATTTATTTAATAAATTAATAAAATTAATATATACAATGATACTTTCAAGCACAATGATTAATATATATTTTGATTCAATAAATTTTCTAACATTAGTTTTAATTCAACTATTAAAATATAATATAAATACCAATGATCTGTAATGAAAAGAGTTGAAATACCCTTAAATAAAGTTTTGAATTTGAATATTATGAATAAAAAAATAAATACCAAAAAAATTTATTTCTGGTGAGGTCCAACACAATTCAAACAACTACTTAGTTCCTACATTTTTTAAATTTATCTCACAGAAAATATCAATATTAATGTAATCCTAACAATTTAGTGTGTCTATTAGCCCTCGTATAGTAATTGTTATCCTCAATCAACACTCTCAACTTGTCAAAGCTTGTAAAAAATACCAAATTGATTTTAGGTCAATTGATTAACGAGTTGAATAAAAGTTAAAATTTCGTTATTTTAAAATTATAGATTCAATTCTCTTAGGTATTAATTTTTTCCAAAAATTGTACACCTTTTTTTTTTTTTTTTTGCCTTTGATTTGTCTAATGTGGTGGTTGAATTTGTATTGTATTGATTAATTAATTAATTTACATTTTGGATGAGTTAAAAAAAAAAGAAGTAAAAAATGGACTTCTTTCTTTTCATATAATTATGTAACTTTAGATATTAGAGGTTAACTCCAATAATGTGCAGGTTATTTCCTAGCGTTATTAGTTTTATTGTAATTTGTAATTTAATATGGTGATTTCAATATCAGATTGTATTAATTAATGTGTTAATATGGATAATTATTAAAAAAATACAAATAATTAATTAGTAACATATTGCCATGGAAATAAAAAAAAGTATTTAATGAAGCCCTGACCGTGAAGTTAAATGCATGATGTACGTTAGGAATCATTCTTTGCTTCCATGTCCAAAGAAAGTAGCCTCAAGAAGTGAACCGCAACTGCAAGCAATACCTACAGTAACCATGAGAGCTTTCTGAACCTTGTCCCATCTCCCAATCCCACTCCATTTTGTTCTTGTCCTCCCAACAAAGGAAAGCCTAAAACATTTCAAGAGTGTTTTTCATAAAATGTTGCCACAGTTGTTGATAACATGATATGAATATGATTTATATCTGTATATCTGTAACTAAAAGTACAGATAATTCGCACCGAACCCTTCGGGCCAAGTGGCAATAGCCACCCATGGTGCATTCCCCTCGCATTCCCCCTCCCCAGGGTTGGGGTTCGAACCCAGCCCCTTGTAAAAT